ACCAAAAGCTAAAGGGACAAGACCCAAATATGAGACAAACAAGACTAGTTTTATCCTAAAAGTCAGCTTTAACAAAAACATGTTTCAATTGTTTTTGGAGAACAGGTGGTTCTTGGTTATATGGATAAGTTCTTTAGTGGTGAGTTCTGAGATTTTGGAGTACTCATCACCTACGCAGTATACACGGTACCCAGTATGTACTCTTTTATCCCTCACCCCCGTTCAGCCCTTCCCCCTGGGTCCCCAAAGTCCATTATCTCATTCTTATGCCTTTGTGTCCTCATAGCTTAGCTCCCACTTATAAATGAGAACATGTGATAGTTGGTTTTCCATTCCTGAGTTACTTCACAGTATAACGACCTCTAGCTCCATCCAAGTTGTTGCAAATGCCATTATTTCATTCCATTTTATGGCTGAGTAATATTCCACAGTGTGTGTGTGTGTGTGTGTGTGTGTGTGTGTGTGTGTGTGTGTGTGTCTGTGTGTATAACACACATTTTCTTTATCCACTCATTGCTTGATGGGCATTTAGGTTGGTTGCAATTGCGAATTGTGCTGCTATAAACCTGCATGTTCTGATATCTTTTTCATATAATAAAAGTTAGCTTTTCTATGTCTTAAGAATAGCTACATTGTTCCTTTGAATGCTGGCCATTCTTTCATCCATAGACTATGAAAATTTGGACAAGTTTCTGCATGTATTCGAGGCCTGGTAACATAATCTTGAAAAACATAGGAGGGGCTGGGCACAGTGGCTCACGCCTATAATCCCAGCACTTTGGGAGACTGAGGTGGGCGGATCACGAGGTCAAGAGATCAAGACCATCCTGGCCAACATAGTGAAATGCTGTCTCTACTAAAAATACAAAAATTAGCTGGGTGTGGTGGGGCATGTCTGTAATCCCAGCTACTCAAGAGGCTGAGGCAGGAAAATTGCTTGAACTTGGGAAGCGAAGGTTGCAGTGAGCTGAGATCACACCACTGCACTCCAGCCTGGTGACAGAGTGAGACTCTGTCTCAAAAAAAAAAAAAAAAAAGGAATAATCTCTACTTTTCAGGGTTGTTCCAAGGATATAATGTCTGTGAGGCATGTCGCACAGACCCAGGACACAGCAGTTACTCAGCAGCAGTGTGCTTTCCTCTCTGTCCCCTGAGGAACCGCTGAGAAAGGGAACTTGTTTGAATTCATTTCCTTTTGCTGCTGTAACAAATCACCAAAAACTTTGTGGCTTAAAACAACACCAATTTGAGCATCTTACAATTCTGGAGGTCAGAGTTCAGAAGGGCCTCACGAGACTAAAATCAGGACAAGGGCAAGGCTACTTTCCCTTGCAGGGCTCTGGGAGACAGCCATGTCTTCTCTTTGCCAGTTTCCTGAGGTTGCCCACAGTCCTTGGCTCACAGCCCCTTCAGCAATGGCATCACTCCGACCCCTGCTGCTACTGCCACCTTGCCTTCTCTCTGCTGTAAACTCTCCTGCCCCTTTATTATTGGGACTTTTATGATTACACTGGATGTGTCCAGATAAGCTTCCCATTCCCACATCCTTAACTAAATCACACCTACAAAGTCCCTTTGTTATGAAAGGTATCGTATTCACAGGTTGATTAGGATGTGGACATGTTGGGGGCCATTATTTGATCTACTATAATTGTCATGTCAGTTTCTGTAACCTACAAATGTCTTCATCTTTATTACAGGCTCAAGCCTTGCTTATTAACTTCCTCTTCCTTTTTTTTCTTCTCTCATTGTATCTTTTTTTTTTTCCGACAGGGTCTCACTATGTTCTCAAGGCTGGTCTTGAACTTGAGGGCTCAAGCAGTCCTCCCACCTCAGTCTCTCGAGTAGCTAGGACTACAGGCACATGCAACCATACCCAGCTAATGTGTGTTCTCATTTTATCTTTAATAATGCTATCATTTGCCAGATTCCCTACTAGAAACCTGAGGCTGCCTGGGCTCAAGCCCTCACCACTCCTGCCTGGACACTGCACATGCTCATTGCTCTCTTCGCCACCCACCTCTCTTACCCCAGCAATCCATCTCCACACCACCAGTCAACTCGTCTTTCTCCAGAACTGCTTTGGCCACCTAATCCTCATCAGAAAGGCCTTTGCTGGCCTCCTTCTGCCCACAAAGCCTCCAGTCTCACCCCAAGTCACACCCTCCCAAGGCTGAGCTCCTTCCCTCTTCCCACATTTCATTTCCCAACCTGCTAAAGTATATGCATGTGTTACATAAGCCACTCAGAATTTCTCATGATTCACCCACACACACCCTACTCTTGCCTGCCTCTGAGATTTCTTTACTCATCCTGCCCTAACTACCTGGAGTGCCCCTCTCTTTTCCTTTACCTGCAAACTTCATTCTTATTTCATTCAATTCTCACAAATCTGGGAAGGAGTAGATATTGTTAACCCTTTTTTATAGATAGGCAAACAAGCCAGAGCATTAAAGTAACTAGCCCCAGTCCAAATGCCTAGTCATTGTCAGAGCTGTGATTAAATACCACCTGTCCTTTACTCCATTTTCTAAATTTTGGTAGGCTGCTGCATTATTAGGGTATGAATATTTTATTGTTTTACCCTGATTTTTCTCTTCAATTTCTGCAGATTTTCCTTGGTCCCAAAGGAAACAAAACTAAGGTTTTGTAGTGCTGCCACCACCCCTGACACCCCAGGAGTCGGTGTTTCAGTTACCAACCAGAGTTGAGTGGTTTTTAAAAATGTAAATCTGTGCATGCTATTCTAATACCACTACGCATGCACTAGCCTGAATCCCCTTAACGGCTGATTTCCCACTGCCATTTAAGAGGATCTTAAATTTCCCAAAAATGGCCCACGTCTATCTGGCTTCCTCGCAGTGTTTCCTGCCTGCCGGTGCAGCTCCCCACACTGTCCGGCTCACCTCTCCATGCCCACCATGCTGGCCTCCTTTCTATCCTTGGACCCACCATGCTCCCTCCTGTCCCATGGCCCTTGCACATGTTCTTCCTCCTACATGAATGTTCTTCCCCCTTTTCTCAGTCAACTTAACTCCTTTATCATCTTTCAAGCTTTGACTCAAATGTCACTTCTTTAGGGAGCCCACATTTAAACACCAGTGACCTGTAATTGAAAAGGCCAAGCTTTTCCCACAAAGCGTGTTGTGTCTTCTTTAAACACTTTGCATATAAACTGACAAAAGGAATCTAAAACATATCAAGAGTATCTGAGTGAGCATTGCGCTTTTAAAAATGAAGAAAATTGGTTCTTATTATCTGGAGAGTCTGAGACTGGCCGCAGGCAACAGGCATTTCCTGACAGTGACACCATCAAATAGCCCACATCTGAGCATCACCATTCAATTTCCCCTGTGCTCCTTACACTTCACCTGTGTCTCATATGACTCCTAGCTTGGTACTGAATGCTTCACAAAATTTTTATGTATACTTATTATTGGTTGACTAATTGACCAATAAGTTTCACTTGGGACATCTTTTTTTGAAAACAGTTTGGCAGTTTCTTAAACAATTAAACCCTCAATTATTCTATAACCCAGCAATTTCACTTCTGGGCATTTATTCCAGAGAAATGAAGATTTATGTTCACATAAATACTGATAAACAAATGTTTATAGCAGCTTTATTCATAATAGTCAAAACTTAGAAACTACCAAGATATCCTTCCATGAGTAAATGGCTAAACAAACTTTGGCACATCCATACCGTAGAATACTACCCCAAAATGAAAAGAAACCAACCATGCTGACACACATAGCAACCTGGATGAGTCTCCAGAGATGTATGCTGAGTGAAAAAAGGCTAATCCTTAAAGGCTCTATGCTTTATGATTCATTTGTATAACATTCTTGAAAGGACAAAATGACAGAAATGGAAAACAGCCCAGGGTTTAAGGAGGACATGGAGGGGAAATGATCTAGCTATAGTGGACAAAAGGGGAGATACTTGTGGTAAGGAAAATACTCTTTACTTTGACTGTATCAATATTAACATCCTGCTTGAAATATTGTACTATAGTTTTTCAAGATGTTACCATTGGGGGACTGGGTAAAAAGTACAAGAAATCTCTCTGCATTGTTTCTTACAACTACATGTGACTCAATAGTTATTTCATTAAACTTAAAGCTTGTTTTTTTTAAAGGGACACATTTAATAACATATTTGTAACACACTGAGGTGTTCACAAACACATAATAACTGTGATGCCACCAAATGTCTTCTTTCTTTTCTTTTCTCATGGTTTGTTTTTGTTTATTACTACTAAGGATTTTATTTTCCTTTATTTAATTTAAGACATACATGACATTGATTACTTTCAGGCTATTTTCACAATGACTGAGGTTTATTATATTAGAATCCTTATTTTTTATGTCCCTTGGTTACCTGTCATACATAGAATACTACTCAAAAATAAAAACATTCATTACTCTGTTTTTCATCCTGATGAAGATACAATTTATAGAATTGTTGGTTTGTACTTCAATCTCTGGCAATACCATAAACAGCCAAGTATATTAATGCCTTTATCACTCCCCACATAAAAAATGTTCTTTAAAGCAGCACTTCTGCCATCTGCCACTTCAGACCTCTTGTCTAGTTCTCAGGGTTCCCTAAGCTTAGTATTAGTATAATACTTCAATAGGTTGTCACTGTTTGGAAAACTTTGTTTTGACTGGCCGTTGTTCAAATTTTTCTTCGGTCCTTTTCATCTCTTCATCATTTCTCTGTGAAAGTTTAATACATTCTGCTGGTATCAATAGAATAGAAACTGGATTTCTATTCTATTTTCTGATATTTTTGCCTAACGCGATTTATTTAGGGTTTGACTTTTTTTCCCCAATTATTGGAGTGGTTGTAAACATCCACACTGTGATAGAAATCCTTGCTCAGGGAGTCCATGACTGCTTTGGAAGTATTTACTGTAAACAGAGCAGGATCAGTACCGCATTTTATTCATTTTCATGCTTTAACATAAAAATTCTCTTTGCTTTCTCTTTCAGTGAGTACAGAAAAAATCCAGGAACATATCACCAACCAGGTATTCTCTCACTTCTCATAAACTCTAATATAGAATATTTTTTCAAATGTTAATAATTAAACGTGTAAATGTAAAAAAGGCGGGGGTAATGTTAGTTGTTAGTTATGAGCAATATATATGTTATTGGTTCTGTGAAAAAAACATATTTGGTCATATGTAGGTGATCATGCACTTTCTTTGTCTCCTCCCAAGCCCAGTCCTTCCCCGCCACCTCCTACACAAATGGGAAACAGTAGACTAATGGGACTCTGCCAGTTCTAACTTGCAAGTATCTCTCTGATCATATTGTGACCTCTGCATTGACACTATCATGGCAGCAAATAGATACTTCCATCTACTTTTTCCTTAACTAAGGTGATTGTCCATGATTTTCTCAGGTTTTCATTTAATAAGCTAGAAGTCACTGCCTCCCCAACAGCTAAGAACTGGCCCCCTATATACCACAAGCTGACCTTCCATTCTGGTCTTTTGTTTCTACTCACAGTTGGCCAGTCTCTTCCTGTCTGCTTCGTAGTTTTCTTATCCCATCTTCTTACTGATCTATTTTTGTATTTCTAGGTAGGTGGTGTCATTCTATAGAACTGCTTTAGGAGCTTGAGACCTGCAGCCACACAAGCAAACCAAGGAGGGCCTTCCCCAAAAGCATACCTTGCCCCACCCTGCCTACTTTCTCCCAGGCCAGCTTATTTTAGCTACAATTTCTTCACACCCTGCCTGTGCCACTAGACTCAGAGAATGCAGACATTGACCTGTGGGGAAATATGTTTGGGTTTCACCCATAGATACAAATTTCTATATCTTCCTTTCTTTTTTCTTTCTCTGGCATAAATTGCAACTCACCCTTACCAAAGAGAAGAGTGGTAAATCTACATTTATACCAGTCAAAGGTGCATTTTTCAACATTCTAAGTGTACTCCAAAAGGAATTAGAATTCTAGTTCCTACTGTCAATCCATCCCAATAAAGTTCTGCCTTTGCCTAATCTGTGCCAGATGCCCTGTAACTCATCAAGATTTCAAAACAGTGATCCCATTTGGCTAATATACTATTTTGCAAATTCAGTAGCCAAAATTTAATCAGGTGCCATTTTGCTTTTGAATACTATCATAAGGTTGACTTGTAGTAGCAACTCTCTTAATGCTTCAAAATGCCGTCATTGTGAAATAACAAAATCGGTTGGCCATTTCAAATAGTTTATTTGCCTTTTGAAATTAGTTTCTTTATCATTGCATTTCCCATTATTTGTAGGTACTCAAGTGGTTTTGTGAGGCTGAGCAACAGTTAGCCAGTAAAGTTTACTGCTGCCATTTTTATTTATTTAAATTGTATGGGAACACTTTTCCTTACAAAGAGACCTATTTTTCTTATAGGCATAACAACCTACCTGTTTCCCTTACTAACTTAACAACCTAAAGCAGATGGTCAAAAAATATAAGGTCACTTCTGATTGGTAGATTTTCATTTCCTGTTTTTTCCTTCTTTTTACATTTAACAAAACTAACAAAATATGTAGACACCAAAATAGAACACCAAATATTTACTCATAATCTTAAATATTGATCTAATGTCAGATAAAATTGTAATGGTTTTCAGTCTCAATAAGAGAGTGAAATTCTTTAGATTTTAACTAAAGAGGGAAAGGTCTTAATATTTTAATTATATAGTCATTCTCGGAACAGATCATTGTCTCATTCAATCATTGTCTACTAGCTTGTATTTCTAATCCTACAATGAAATTTCTATTCATTCTTCTCCCAAGTAGAGAAGTTCTCCCCACTCTCAAGAATGATACACTGGCAATACAATTCAAAAAGGTATCTTATACCTCTAATTTATATAAACTCTAGCAAAAAGTCAAGAAATAAAGTCACTATGCCACCAAAACAACTTGGCTCTTGAAAAATCACTATGCCCCAAAATAAATTTGGCTCTTGAAAGACAAAATGGAGCACCACTGAGCATTAATCTTGCCCCTAAATCCTTCCCACTAGGCACTATAGATTGTGTAATTAAATTGAAATTGAAAATCAAGTCTTTATTCTTCCTCCCCTTCCACCCACCCCCCCAACATCAGGCAGGCGATAAGTTGTGCACCAGTGTGAGAAATCAGAACTGGAGTGGAGGGAAAGCTCTAGCCGGCTGGCCAATATCCAGCCTGTGCGTTTAGCCCACGGCTATTTTACCACACCTGAGCTCTGAGAACAAACAACTATTTGAGTCCTCTGGAGGGAACGCTGGATTCTTTCCTGTGCAATTCACTGGGGAAATTAGTATGCTTTTTAAAAGTAACTTGTTAACGCAGCTTGTTTACCAGAGGAGGACAAAAATGAGCAGTGAACTGCTTGGCAGCCTCTGTTCTAGAATAGGATGAATGCATGACCCATTTTTTTTTTCAGCTGTCTCTTTGGCAGTTCAATGCTGCAATAATTTCCTATCTGAAAAATGTTACTTGTAGAGATGAAATCTTCTGTAGGTTTCCTGAATAATTTTTACAATGCTAGATGAAAGATAATACTTTATTACCAAAAATGCTTTCAAAATCAAATTAAAACATGGTCAGCACAAGAATGGAAAAACAATGTAAAAATCTTAATTTAAATTTTAGAAACTGCCTTATTATATAAAAGACAATTGAAATCTTTTATGTTTATGCCTTTTTATATAGCAGATAATTGAAACCCAAAGTGAATTAATACCTTGTGTTTGTGCAGCTAGATGACAAAGAGGGACACCAAATATGGGGCTCTGTTTCTGGTGCAGAGGATGTCTATGTTGTGGAACACTCATAGACAGCTGCTCTCTATGAGAAACGCTTGCCCACACTGACGACCCAGTGCAGAGGGAGGCGCCACCAGGGCAAGCGCTGTATTCAGTCCGTAGGGCTGCCATAAGAAAGTACCACAAACAGGCGCCTTAAAACAATGGAAATACATTGTCTCACATCCAAAACAGGGTGTCAGCAGGCCCATGCTCTCTCTGAAACCTGTAGGGGAGGATTCTTGTTTGCTCTTTTTAGCTTCTAAAAAGGTTGCTTGCCAGCAGCCCTTGACATTCCTTGGCTTACAGCTGCACCACTCCACTCTCCGCCCCTGTGGACACATGGCTGCCCTCCTTATGTGTCCCTCCCCTTCTTATAAGGATCCCAGCCATCTTGGCTTAGGGCCTTCCCACAATGACCTCCTCTTAAAATTGCAGTTGCAAAGACCCTATTATCAAATAAGGTTGTATTCTTAGGTCCTAGGAGTTAGGACTTCAACATATCTGTCTGGGGGACATCATTTGACCCATAACAAGCTGGAAGCCTTGAAGTCATCCTTGACTCCATCTCTCCCTCTGAGCACTGGGCACTTCTGATGTGGACCTCTCTCAGCCAGCTCCTCACCTCCACCCATGGCCCCTGTTTCATCCAGGCTCTCATCTCATTTGCTCAGTGATTTCCCGAGGCTCTCATGTTAGCCTCACCACCTTTCTGTTCATCCTCCATTCTGCTCCAGTTTGCTTTGCAAAATATCATCTTGGTGAAAAATAAGCACTAAGTAGAAAAACCTCCCCCATTGTTAGTAGTGATTTTAACCCTGCCTGGGCATTACAGTCAGCCCTGAAACTTGTTAGCATATATCCAAGACCCCATCTCGAACCCCAACCCCAAGGCATTCTGGGTCAGTAGTTCTAGACTTGAGTTCAGGCACAGCACAACCCTCAGACCAGACCAAGAAAGGTCACAGGCTTTAGCAGTCTCCAAGCACCACAAACACAGCCATGTAAAGACGTAGTTTTCTTTCTCAGCCTCATGTTTTAAAGTTTCATGAGCAATTGAGAGCACACAAAATATGGAGAGGAACATAGCAGTTGAACTGGGTTATCTGGGCAAAGGGGATAGGCCAATAAAAGAGTGAAATTCCCTTATTGAGAGAGAGCGGGCTGTGTAGGCACTGTGAAATCAAAGAAAGAGGGGATGCTTTAGTTTCTAGATAGCCACCCCGTAGCCCCTGAAGTGGGAGGATATATAGGCAGACTGTGTTCCCAGGTAACCATACTTCCACATTCCCCTCTGCTTGGGGAGGGGGTGTGGAGTGGGTGAACATAGTTTCAGCTGGTGCTTAGAACCTCCTGGTAATCTGGAATCAGAAAAGTAAGACGAGGTAGGAGAACCTGTTCTCCTCATTAACAAGAAGACCGGGACTGAGTCATTTCCCATCCTTGATGGGAGCAGATGCAGGCCTTGCCCATGAGTCCCCAGGCTAAGTCCAGAGTCCATTCTGTCCTCCCTGGGAAGGTCCAAGCAACCAATTAGGCCTCTCGTGCAGGATGGCCTGAAGGGACAGCAGGGCTTCTAGAGCCTCCTAGTCCCAGAGCAGTCCCTTGGACAGGAACAAGGTCTGGGTCTTGGATGTAGCTTCCTTTAAAACTTTGAAATAGTTTGACATATAGTATGTGGGCCTCCATTCATGCTCTTGTTCTAGGCCCCACAAATGTTGGGAAGAATGCTGCTCAGACATTTGCAATTTCAAAAACTCATTATGGGATTCTGATGGAAAGCCATACATAGTATTTCTAACCTTTGAGTATGAAATACAAAGGCTTGGGATCTTGTGATCTTGTACTCCTTTGGAGAGGATTCTCCCCGCCTTCCTAGACTTATTTCCCATTCTATTCCTTTATATAAAATTATTGGTTCTTTATAAAACTTTCATCACATACTAATCTCCTTCTCTGCATGTACAAAATTTGCTCATGTAAGTCCTAACTCAGATAGTACCTTTTCCATGAAGCTTTCTTTTATCACACAGCTAAGAATAATCACTCTCTTCTGTGACCCCATTTTACTTTCTCTGCCCTTTTGCTATAGAATTTTACATTTTCTACCCTATATTCTAATCATTTATATCCCAGCGTGGTTTTTGAGACTACACAGCATCGCCCTAAAGGGAAGAGATCATGTTTGGTTCATTTCTGTGTCCAGTGTTGGGCCTTGCATATCATAACAACTCAATCAATTACTGGCAGAATGTAAATTCTTCAGATCACTAAATTCTTATTCTAGTAGCTAGAGGGGCTGCTAAATTTAGACAGTCTACTCCGTATACACAGGAATGTTCAGAACTGCTGTGTCATTGATTCTTATCAGGCAGGAACAAGGTATCATTCCTTCCCCTCCTAGGTAAGGATTCTAAATTAAAAACAGAAGGAACAAACCAAGATTGCACATGCTTATTATGAATAATGGTCAGTCAGGGAATGAAAGAATCGAAGGGCAGAGAGATCTGGATCTTTTTACCCTTATGTCCATATCCATATTGCCGATTGGTTTGCCAGGTTCAAGACTTGAGCACCTGATTCTTTCCTCTAATGTAAGCATGGCAGTGCCACTCACTGATGACTTTTCAGTGTAGTGTGAACTTTAGAACTTCTAAATTTAAAGTGGGATTACCTTACCTTGCACTATTCTTCTCAAGATGGCCATGCACTCAAGGAGACAATTTTGACTTCAAGATTTTCTCTTTGCAAGTTCAGCACTAATGGAGCTAGTAAAGATCCCACATGTCCCTAATTCCGTCTTAAGATTGCCTTCAGGCCGGGCGCGGTGGCTCAAGCCTATAATCCCAGCACTTTGGGAGGCCGAGGCGGGTGGATCACCAGGTCAAGAGATCGAGACCATCCTGGTCAACATGGTGAAACCCCGTCTCTACTAAAAATACAAAAATTAGCTGGGCATGGTGGCGCGTGCCTGTAATCCCAGCTACTCAGGAGGCTGAGGCAGGAGAATTGCCTGAACCCAGGAGGCAGAGGTTGTGGTGAGCCGAGATCGCGCCATTGCACTCCAGCCTGGGTAACAAGAGCGAAACTCTGTCTCAAAAAAAAAAAAAAAAAAAAAAAAAAAAAAAAAAAAAAAAAAGATTGCCTTCAGAATTGAGAGAATTGCACTTTTAGAAAAGCTATCCAATTTATGAGTCTTTTTAAAATCTTGAAAGAAAGATTGAAAGGATCGAAAAGTGGTGACACTAATGGTGGTTAACAAAGAAGAATTTATAAAAGATGACTTTTTTAAAGGTCAGATGGCTTCTACCTAGAAAATACTTAAGTGTAAATGTCAAAGTGCTGGGCTTTGCCTCTTTCATTGGAAGCCAAGACAGTTGAAATGTGAAGGGTATCTATGAAAAGGTATATAGATTGACAAGACAAAGCGAGGCTGGGACAACGGCTCTCGGATGTTTTAAAAGCATGATCACCAAAAAGAAAATAGTGGTTGGAATAAACACAATGAGAACTATTCACAATCAAATATGCAGATAATTCTCAAACACTCAATGCTTCTGATAATTGCCATCAATAATTGTGCTAATCACCCAGTGCTCCATAGCCTATGTATTTGTCACGACAACCCTGTGAGGACCAGGATGTTAATCTTCACTTTACACAGGTGGAAACTCGGGCTTGAAATCAGGTTTAGAAATTTTTCATGTCCTGCCACATTTAGCATGATATTAATAATAGTAATGGCTAGCATTATTATTCAATGCTTGATGAGCTTTATGTGTGTAGGTATTATGCTAAATTTTACATTAAATCATTTGTCTTAAACCTCACAACAGTGATCCTGTGAAGTAGAAATAAATCGAAAGAGTCATCTTAGTGAGGCGAATTAGTCTGTCCAAGATCACGCGTGAGTGGTCACGCCAGAATTAAATAAGGCAATCCAGTGCTATCTACAATGTGAGCAATCAGCCTCTATTCTGGGCTACTTTAAATATCTTTCTTCAAAGGCACTCAGCTGGTGAGTGGCAGAGCATAAATTCGAATCCAGGTGTATCTCATTCTGAATTCCTTTCCCTTCACCCTTATACTACACTCCCACCTTTTCTGGAAGTTATTCTATTAATTAAATGATCTCACTTATGACCACCCTTATTAACCCCCCAACTCTGACACCAGTATGAAAGCAGTCTGTTCTGAGACCCTGGAATACAATATTTGTGATGTGGTGTGTCTTTTTTCAAAGTGTTTTAACAATGAAGATGAGCATACACTTACTCTGGGATCCCTGTTGAGCAGTAAATTACTTTTTTAATTAAATAAGTGAAAAATCAGGTGAATCTGGTTTAAGAGAAAACTATCTGTCACCTGAAAAGAGATGAAAAACTGGGAGGGGGAAAAAGTATACATTGGTATAATCTGTGGCCCACTGCCGGTTTTCCTTGGTAGAGCCCCGGCGGAAATATCATGGAAATAAAATGAGAGTTTGATGTAGAGGCCTTTTTGTCACTCTAAAATGTGCTCATTTTTGTATTTTTTAGAAAGGTACCTTACTTCTAAAAACTCTCTTACGAGTTCTTGATTGTTAGTAATAACAGTGTCATTGTGAATGTACCCACGTGAGAAAATGTGGAGTAATGAAACTACTGAAAATGTAGCATTTATGAAAAATAAAAATAGTTAATTTACCACTTAATGTAAATTAACCACACCACTTAAGATGCTAACACTCAATAGTCCATGAATAATTTTCTCGTTAATCTTTTTCTCATCTTTTTCCTCCTTTCTGTTGAGTTTTTCAAACCATATCCTTCTCTACTTGCTAACATCTGTATCAGAAGACGAACTGAGTAACTGAAATGTTTCAGCTTAGCATATTTTATTGGCAAAATGGTTAGCATCATCATGTGAGATTTTTCTCTCAACACATAGTAACAAAAGGCAGTAGCCAAGTTCTAACAGCAAAAAGCACAATTAGTAGAGCATGCAGTATTCAATAACTCAAACACCTCCATGTAGAAAGACATTCACTCACTTCATAGGTTAAAGCTATGGCCAAAATCACCCCACTTGCCATCATGTTTGAATATGCAATCTAAAATACAGTCTTTTTTGGAATATCTTTGAATATGCATTCTAAAATACAGTATTTTTTGGAGTATCTTTGAATATTCATTCTAAAATACAGTATTTTTTCTTTGTCCACCTTTAAAATATTTTACTAATGCTATTCTTTCTTCTTGTGATAAAGACCTTGAATGAAGGACTCAAATGAAAACTTGATATTTTCTGGCTTTATGCAAAAGAAGTATTTGAGTGTTCATCATCTAGGATAAAAGTTGCTTAGTGACATAAAAGAGTTGTGTTTTAAGAAATAGCGATCATGAATACTGAGCCACTTCTGAGAAATCCGTGTTGTATATGAGGTCTACATCCCCTAGGGCAGATCCGTCAAATATCTATCCATAGACATCCCTTAAATTAGATGTATCCTTTTGCATGTGTCTGCATTTTGCAGAGGTAATATTCCTTGGTGCTCACCAGAACCTCAGGAGTGAAGGAAGGCACGCTGGAGAGTTTTCCACCTCTCACTAGAGATAGAAAGTTACCAGTCATTCCTTTTATTATGCATAAATTGAAACCAATTTTATTTAAGCTTTATTTGTCAAAGTAGCACTTGTTTTTCCCAGAAAATAAATTTCTGGGAAGGAGAAGAAATGCAGACAAATAGTGAAAATTCAGAGTACCAGTAAGGATCCAGTGAAAACTACCTTGTCTTTATTAACCTTAATGTGGAAAAAGTTAATATACACAGAAGTGTTATGTTCTACTCTGTGGTCAATCATCAAACAAGGATGGAATAAACAAGATTCCTCCCTGTTTCATCACTGGTATATGCCCTGCTCAAAATGTATTAAAGGGGATATTTCATCACACAATTACTGGATAATGAAATTAGGCCGGTGTTCTGTGGATGTGGAATAATGTAATTTACTTATGTTGAATGATTAGCCAATCCGAATTCTCTCATTTTCTAAAGCAATGGATTGATTAAAATGTGACCATAAACAAAAGAGATTTTATTAGGCATAATCTACTTTGTAAACAAATGAAATTAATTCTTTGCCTGACATAAAGCTTTGAAAATGAAAAACCAAAATTGAACACATGCTTCCAATTTTGGTTCTGTTACTAAGATGACACTTAATATAAAAGTTACAATTTAACTTCCCCTCAAGTATTCCATACTTGAGACTAAATGACTCTTAGAAATATGTTCATCAACAGATGGGAGCCACTTATGGCCTCATAAACTCCAAAGCAAGTGAAATTATCTCCACAAAATAGAAGGAGATTACAATAAAGCCTCATCTGGTTATCTCAGTGATGATTAATGCATTGCACATTGGTTCAATGATGCAATGAATATTGACAGATAATCACCCTTCTTCATATAAGAGAAATACGAGACAAATGCCAGTGATGTATGCTTTTAATCAATCAATAAGCAATTTCCACATGTGCCCTGTGTACAGAACTGTGATAAGTGCTCTGGAGGAAGTGGAAGAAAGTGCCAGCAGAGTTCCTATTCTAAAGGAGTTTTCTATCTTGAAAGAAAAGACTAAAAACCTGAAACGCCGCACAGAATAGCAGAGGGTGTGTTATTTCTTGCTTGCTTGTTAATTATACAGTATGGATCACGTGGGAGTTCGAAAAAGCCAATCATCAATGAAAACTACAGTGTTCAGGGAAGGATCACGGAGTGCTTTGAAAACTGAAGTGATTTAGACTTGATTCAGCAGGAAACACAATGTAGCAGTACTCAGAATGCTCGAGTTCAGAAATGACCTCAGGAAATCGGTATGAAATTTTTCCTGAAACTATATCCTGGATTTTCCTTTTGGCTCTATCTCCACTGGTACCAGTCACCAGTCTCTCTCCAGCCTCTTCAGGTTTCCTGCTGCTCCCGCTCTTATCAGGCCCAAGTCGTTTGCCACTTGGCTGGCAGTGTACGCTTTAGAAAATGTGAATTATTTCTTTACCTGTCTAAAACTCCCCATGGCTGATACTGCACCCCTGCTAACATCCAAAGCCCTGACCCTGATCTGATACTCCTATAAGGTGTGGTCCTGACCTCCTCTTTCATCCCATCTTGGGCCGTTTGCACTCACAGGGCAACCACAACAGCCTTGCCCTCTGTCCTTCCACCTGGCCAGGCCCATTCACATGCTATGGCCTTTGCACCGACTGGCCATCTTCAAAACACTCTGCTTCTAGCTCTTGGGTTCCTTGTTGTCATTCAGATCTCAGCCCTAGTAGCTTCTCCTCAGAGAGATCTTCCTTGGACATCTATTTAAGGGAATCTTCCCACTTTCCCTCTGACATCCTCTATTGCATCACTCCGTTTTAGTGTTTTCATCATACTTGGCACCACCTAAATTTTTTGGTTTGTCCAACTTTTTCCTTGTTTGTTATCTGTTTTCACCCACATGAATGTAAGTACCTTGAGAACAGAGACTTATCAGAGTCATTTGCCCCTTAGCTCCAACACCAGAAAATAGTGCACATATTAGGTGCTCAGTAAATACTTCTTGAATGAATGTGTTGCTTATTAATTCTTCCAGCTGAGATAATCTGGATATGAAAACAAAATATGTTTAAGCAAAATCTTGATGATGAGAATGAATATTTCCAGGGGAAAATGAATGGAATTTGATGTCTAAATATAGGAAAGGAATGAGCAATCTAAGACACGATTAGCACGAGGTTCTCAGTGTTGCTTCAGAAAGGTGATACTCTTGGCAAAAATATAAAGGTTATGGTTAAAAGCCACATATAGTGAGTATACACTACAGGTCAGGCATTACATATTTTTCAGAACTCCATTGGGTAGGCATCATTACCTCTTACAGATAAGAGATTGATTCAGTGACTCCAAGTTGTTCAGCTGGGTATCTTATTCCAGTGATTGAGGTTGATTGGGTTAAAAGTGCTGATTTAAGAGCAACTGACAGGTGCAAGCATGGATGGAGGTTAAAAATGTACTAAGTCTGGTCTTCAGAGCTACCTCTCCCCCATTTCCCAAGTTACTGAGCTGAACTGGATGTGGGACATGCATCTCACAACCTACGGTGGCTCACAGGGTCTTTTGCAAATTGGTCTATGCACCTGTAGACTCTTCCAGGTGTCTTCCTCATTCTGAAACAGCTCAGGGCTGGCAAGTAGAAATACCTTGAAGAAGACATTGAAGAGAAAAGTGCCTGTATAAAGGCAGGGGAATGTGATTAATGGAGCAGAATGACACCAGTGATTGTGGAGATAACCACTTGAAGGGTGATAGAACCCCAGGGAAAGTAACTGAAATGCAGTACATGAAAATGTTTTGCTTCCATCTTTTTAACCATCCATCTGAGAAGTTACTACCTAGAATACGGAAACTTGACTTTGCTAAAAATGAGTTCTATAAGAGAGGCCCAGAAAAGACAATGCTACTGATGCATATGAGGAGTTGAAGTTGCTGCAACTGAACACTCAGGTGGTCTCTTACTGGTGGCAGGAAATAAATGTTCTTCTTCAAGGTATAAATCACCACGGAAATGGCATTATAGAGTGAGCATCTCATGACAAAAAGCCATGGGGACCAGGTTGGCTGGTTCCTGAGAGTTTATCAGGGGTTGAAAGATACCTTCAGCTTGCCCCGTTTCACGCTGATCCTGCTCCCACATACCGCTCCACAAGTGTTGACTCGTTCTCCCAGATTTGCAGCTGTGAAAATGACAAGATTTAAAATAAATTGTCTTGAAAAAACGAACATGGATGGAGTGAAGCTATGATCACCCTATAATCACAAAATCTAGGCATATGTGTTTCTAACAGTAGTGTGGAGTCAGAAGAGGAGATAAAGATGCTGTGAAGATCAAAAGCTTTGTCGCAAGGCTGTCATCAAAGCTGAGCAGATGATCACAATCACTGTATGGTTTGTGCTACCTGAGGAGAGACTCAAAGTCCAGGCAGTGCTGGCTTACATCATTGCTTCAGAATGAGGAGGACACCTGGAGGAGTCTACAGGCGCATGGACCAATTTGCAAAAGACCCTGTGAGCCACCATAGGTTGTGAGATGCATGTCCCACATCCAGTTCAGCCCAGTAACCTGGGAAATGGGAGAGAGGTAGCTCTGAAGACCAGGAGCAAGAGTCTAGTACTTTGGCCATTCCAGATATTTGGGATTGTTCAGTAGAGCATCAGTTCTAGGTACCCAACATATATTATTTTAAATTGGAGAACTGGAGCAACCAAAGGTGGTGTTATGTCCTCGTTCATTCTAACTAGAGTTGACTCAGGCGCATTTGGCTTCCTCAGGGTAACTCGGTACAAAGGATTGTGTTCACTTGGATTTGATAGCAAGGAAACATTCTTGTAGTTAGAGATGTGATGTCACTGAGAGGCAAGGATTGGTTAGGTAGCGAGAAACATACCATTTTGGAGCTGGACGAGACTGGATTTTAATCCCAACTCCAGCAATTAATTGCCCATTATAAAACGCTGAGCAAGTTTAATAAAGATATGATCTCAACCACCTGTCAGAGCTGGAGTAAGGATTAAATTCAATTAATTTGTGCAGCACATGATGCATGTGAAGTCCTCAGTTCATACTCATCCAGAACCCACTCTTACCACGCAGCCTCTCCATCCAGCCTTGCTTCAGGAGCTCTCCCGTAACTGAAGGAGAGTGAGGGAGAGTGAGCCCTGGCAGGAGTGGAGGCAAACAAATGGACCTTCCTTGCCAACTGAGAAAAGACAGCCCTCTTTGCTCAGGACAAAGCAGGCTCCAGGGATTTGGGAATCTCAAAAGACAAGAGGGTCTTCCCGCAGGTCTGTGAATTAATCCAGAAGTACAAGTCTTTTCCTTGTTTTTTACAGAGGTATGGTACCCAAATCCATAGACTTTCATCTTGCTACAGTACTGACTATAGGTGAGTTAATAGTGGCCTAAAATGATGGAAGGCCCTAGGAAAATTCCCTGTATGGCACTCGAGACTTCCTTATCCCTTCTGTGGACAATTATCCCTTGTGTGGGAGTAGATGGAGTTAATAAGTTGTGATATTATTTCTGGGCAAGGTGCAACAAGACGTGTTTGTTCCTCCCAAGGTACAGACTACAGAATTGTGGTGAGGGAAGGAGGTGATGATACACCATCTAAAGAGTGTTTAGGGAGTTACATTTGCCTGCTTTATGATATCTGTATCTCTAGAGAGGACTAGGTAGACTCCTATCCATCCGTGTCTTCATGTAACAGAGCATTACAAGCCAGGCACGGTGGCTCACACCTGTAATTACAACACTTAGGAGGCCGAGGTGGGCAGATCATGAGATCAAGAGATCAAGACCATCCTGGCCAACATCATGAAACCCTGTCTCTACTAAAAATACAAAAATTAGCTGGGTGTGGTGGCATGTGCATGTAGTCCCAGCTACTTGGGAGGCTGAGGCAAGAGAATTGCTTGAACCCGGGAGGTGGAGGTTGCAGTGAGCCAAGATCGTGCCACTGCACTCGAGCTTGGTGACAGAGTGAGACGCATTGCAATGTCATCACCAGTCTCCTGCTGGGTCCCTACGGCTATTGTGGTTAGCATTGCTGTTCCCATGGCTCAAGTGGCTATGGACTAGTAAGTAATGGATGGGGGGAGAAACAGCTCCTCTCACCTCCCCCCATCCTCCCCATCCTGCGTATACTCTGCTTCCTGGGACTTGGGCTATGCCTACAGGAAGTAACAGAAAGGGTTGGCATGCCCCAGCTCCCTCCCCTCTGCCAACTGCACAGTTGCACTTACTGAGGCTGGGCTGCAGGTGGCAGGCACCCCTCTGCAATCCTCCCATGGCCAGAAGAGCTCATTCTATACCAGCTCTTGGGAGTGAAGTTGTAAGGATACTAAAGACTTGCATCCTCAGGCCAAAAGGTCAGGATCAACACAGCTTATACCTGCCCTGGCAAAGAACACAAGGAGAGGCTATGGTCATGGCTGCTTCCAATACCCATTTAATTGGCATCTTGAATCAAGTACAGCTGTTTTTAGGATAGGCAACCCATTTTGGAAACCCCTTAAAAGCTTCAAAACTTAATGAAATATTTTAAAAAATAAAATTGATAAAAATGTATCTGAATGCATGCATACATAGATCTTGCAAATATCCGTCTGATGCTCACTTAGTTTCATTAGGGCTCTTTTCACTTTAACATCATCATACAACAACCCACCTGACTCGACTCTTCTCTTCTGTCCTTCTGCTTTCCTGCTAGTTTAGTTCTATATTCTTCCTTTTCATTCTTTCTCAGAATGAAATCCTGAAAGTAAACCCCACTCCGCATGGACTCAGAATCCCCATGGCATGATATGATGCCATAGGCAATCTCTCTTTCTAACACAGGGCCCAGGTAACACATGGCAGCACCAAAGTCTGAGCTGCCTGCTCTCCAGTGAGGGTTAGACCAGGCTTTGGGGAGCTGCCTTGAGTAGAGCTGAGTTGTCAACTATGCAAGTGGCATAAGCCAGAGGGGCGTGTGTGTCACTCAAAGGTGCTGACACAGGGCAATCTGATCTGGGACCAGCAGATGCTTAATCCCGTGAGACGAATGGAATGCATTCCTGCCAGTGCCCCTACTGCTCTCATGCTTGGAAATGCTTCTCTAGGACTCAAGTGACTTTGGACTAGTAGGCACTGGGGTGTTGAGCAGGGTTGAGAGCAGGTTTATGCTGCTTCCTGGAAAAGGTCTGTCACTTACATCATAGCCCCCAACTTCACCTTATCTTGACTCAGATGCTCTCTCAGGCTCCTATTCTGCTGTTTTTGTGCCTTCTCTTTTCTCTCTCTTGTTTTTTTTTTTTTTTTTTTTTTTTTTTTTTTTTTTTTGAGGCAAAGTCTTGCTCTGTTGCCCAGGCTAGAGTGTAGTGGCACAATCTCGGCTCACTGCAACCTCCGCCTCCCAGGTTCAAGCGATTCTCCTGCCTCAGTCTCCCAAGTAGCTGGGATTACAGGTGCATGCCACCATGCCTGGCTAATTTTTGTAGGTTTAGCAGAGACAGGGTTTCACTGTGTTGGTCAGGCTGGTCTCGAACTCCTGACGTTGTGATCCACCCACCTTGGCCTCCCAAAGTGCTGGGATTACAGGCATAAGCCACTGCACCCAGCCCCTCTTTTCTCTTTCTCTCTCTCTCCTCTCTCCTACTACCCCTTAATAACTGACCACTCTCCATATTTTTCAGTCTACAGCCCAAAAGGGAGATAGACACATTGATTTAGCTACTTACTCTGTACCTGCTTGGATAGTCTCTTGCTCCAGGTCCCCTCATTGGTTGCCCACTGACCTATGGATACTATTAATTGAATTAACATCCACTTCCGTCACCACTTAGGCACAAGGGCCTGTTACAATGGTCATTTTAATCTGAAGTTGGGAAGGCAGCATTATAGGTGATAGGCCCAGTATATCAGAGAAGAAAGGAAACTCAGAGAAGAAAGGCACAGAGACAGGATGCGTTCACATTTTAGAGAAACTGGCAGATACTATATGTCAGGTACTATACTAGGTACTTAATAACTGCATTTATCTAGTTAATTCTCAAAAAGACTCATCTTTTCCCAGTATCAGAGTTTGAGAATCAGAGGGCTGAGATTTTAGCATGGCTCTTGGTTAAGGGTCCAAAGAGGCCTCCTGCCCAAAGGTAGGATTGCCTTCTCTGAGCCACAGAATTCCCACAAATCTGTATAGTCTTAGCTCAACAGGATTAGGGTTCCATCTAGCTGTAGGGTGTTCCTTTTCTCAGCCTTGTTTGTGTGCATAGACACAAACATCCACCATGGACACTTCCATAGAAAGAATACAGGAATATAGGAAGACAGAACTGGGATCTCTTACTATGGTAAGACAGAGTGTTTGGGGTCCTGGATCCCAGCAAATTCCATCATTTACATTTCAACATTTCCAAAATAGTTCTTGGAATTCCCACTTTATAAATGAGAAGACAGACTCAAGAATGTTAATGGACTCTCTGTAAGAATCCAGTTGTGTCTTCCCATATTTCTTTATGTCTTAACATTCTCTTGCACTCCAGCCAGACTTCTAGCTAACTACCCACCCCTGTGACTCTGCCTGAGTGAGTCCACCGTGCTTGCCTGTAGAGCAGACTGGAATTACCAGATCTCTCCCTGCAGAAACTCTCAACCACAGCTGATAGGATTGTGTGGAGTAACTCCGGGGAGACATGTTCTACATTTGCTCTCAGGGCTCCTCAGCAGAATTCAGCTCCGGTTCCCGCTGTGCTAACTTGCTTGATAATTCACCTATAGTCTGTACCTTTCTCTCCTCAGTTCTCTACTCTCCTGACTGTGTTTCCTGGAATCAACACTAAATTAATAACTTGCTCTCAACCCCTTGACTCAAGGTCTCATTCTAGGGAGGCACAAATGATGACACTGTCCTAAAATCACCTGACTAATGTGTGGAGGACCTGGGTGATGTGATCCAACAGCTGATGTTCTTCATACTGTGAAGGTCTACCCAGCTCCCATGCTCCTGACCTCACAACAACTTGCTTCTCTCTTGCACTTCTAATCTCCATCCCAGGGGAGCATCCCAACTCCTGTCTCCACGGATGACCCATGCTCTGGGCCCCTGGTGTCCCCTATTCCCGTGTCACCTTATGGACTCATCCCCCTTACCTATGAAAATATTTTTCTTGCCAATCCATGCTGATCTCTCTCTCTCTCTCTCTCTCTCTCTCTCTCTCTCTCTCACACACACACACACACACACACACACACACACACACACAGAGAGAGAGAGAGAGAGAGAGAGAGAGAGAGAGAGAGAGAGAAAGAAAACTTGCTATTTTGGAATTACAACCCAGGGCAGCTGGTTCCTTCCTTTCCATCACATTCCAGAGAACAAGAGCAAGAACTCTGTCTAGCAACTGTATTCTTTAGAACAAGGTGTCAGAGTCAGGGTGCACCTCTCCATTGCTCCTCCGTAACCTTCTTGGATACACACATTATTGTTGGCATTAACCTGAAATGCGAAGGGAGGGGAGGCTGGCTGACCAATACTGATTTCAGAAAGCTAAATGCATGGAAATATTAAAGAGCTATATCCCAAATCTATTAGATACCTAAAACTCCAATGAAAGTTTAAATCCTAATAGTCAAAACACCAACTTATTCTACTTCTTTCATGCCAAATATAATTGATTGTATTTTGCTATTCCCATCCACATTTGATATGCACAGACACAAATGTAAGAAATAAAATAGTGAGGGTCAAACATTTTGAATGTACTTCATTTATCAAGTTGCAGTTCCTCATGATGTCATGTTTTGAGTTTCTTTAAAAAACAAAATATTCTGCTAACTAGTGTTTACTGGGTTCGAATTAGAGAGCTGGAAGACGTTCCTAACTCCTCCGTTCATTTTACAGAGTGACCTTGGACATGTTATTACACAAATCTATCTTTATGTATTTATCTGTAAATTTGAAAACAAAAGAATAATCTTATTTTTGCTACAAAACTTGGAAAGAAAATAGAATGATAAATCTATAAAAGCATATTGAACCCCTTAGGGAGAAGCCTTATCTACTTATATACATTAAGATTATGTCTGCTTTCAGCTTCTGATGGTCTTGTCAAACCAGAGCATTATTTCCAATAGAAACTTCTCCTTGACATTCACGTTGTGTTATGTCCTCAGTCCTCATATTTTAACCTTGTTTGACTTCAAGTAGAAAAAAATAGGAATTAAATCCAAAAATTGATGGAATCGGGAAATAAAATCATAGTTTCAATCCTTGGATCCAAGATGACCAAAGAAATTAGCTTGTTGGATCAACTTTAATAGCCTCACAACAGAACAACCATTTTGTGTTTTTAGCAGTTTAAATGTTTTAAAGCTCATAGCTTGGAGAAGACTATAATTCAGTAGTTTCTCTCTCTATCCACCATCCTCAAGTGTTCACTGTTCTTTCCTATTACTCATCATTGTGATTTCTTTCCTTCTGTTTTCTTTCTTTGCCTTTCTGACCACTTAATTTTATATTTTCTGTTTCCCATTTCTGTCTCTCAATCGTCTTCATCCTTTTTCCCCCCCACTGGATTTGATTGCCATTGAACACTTACCTTTGCTACAAGTTATGAGACAGAAGGAAGAGGAGAAAGAAATGAAAAAAGCAGAGTAGAAAACAAATACTTAACTAAAAACTGCTTATCATGTGGAAATTGCTCAATAAATATTCAGTGGCTAAATCAATAAAAATATCTAATATTTACATTAAGCAATCTCTACATGCATTTCCTATAATCCAACTTCCCTACAAGGTAGAAGCTGTTACTCTCTTCATTTTCCAGATAAGGAAACCAAAGCTCAGAAAAACAAAATAGGATAACCAAGGTTATCCAGAGAGAAAATGACAAAAGAGGACATATAACCAGTTCTGTCTGACTCAAAAATCCATGTTTTTAACTACCATACTCTCTTGTGACAGGCATATGCCTGGTGCTTTCCTGACACCAGTTCATTTAATGGGCATTAAACAAGGAATAGGTTACTTGATATATGATGCAGCTGAAAAAAGCCAGACATAACTAAGAGATTTGAGACACCAGCTCTAGCAATAACTGTGTTAACTTGGCACGTTATTTAAATTCTCTGAACCCAGGTCCTTCATCTGTAAAATAAGCTTATCTGTATCTCCTCTTCTGTTTGATGCAGTGATTAATCCAGCTTGCTCCATGCCCTAGCCTGTTAACTAGGCAAACAAAATGGAGAATAATATTCAAGAGAGAGGAAATAAGTCACAGAGACAGGAAACAGAAATGAGTCTGTCTGGCTCACAGTTTCTCCCCAGATACCCTCCCTCACCTGCGAGCCAGGATTCGTCTTTCATGCTTTCCTGCACCAAGTTTTTTCTCCAT